TCAAATACTAATGATAGTCATCAAATTATACGCCCTCACGTGTATTGTCCGAAAGAAGGAAATCTCTCTCGCCTTCCACATGCATGTTAATAACCATTGACCTTTCATTTTTATTAAAAAAACACATGTTATTATTATTATTATTATTATTATAATAATTATTATTATTATAATAATAATTATTATTATTATTATTATTTACAATGGGAGTTATTTATAAATAACTCTCATCCGCTTTAAATGGATCCCGCACTGTCATGTTACTCATAAGCAACTTATATTATATTTTTATAATTTTTATTTCATTAAAAATTGTTTATAAGCACCTCTACTTTTTAATCACTCATACTTCCTTTTTAATAAATTTTAAAAATTTTAATTATTATACTTGTTGGCTTTAGTGAAGGAAGAAAATATTAAATTATTTTTTATTTTTAAGCAATCATCTCTTATATAAGCAACGGTACTTAAATTTTAGCAATTTGACATGCTATGTCAACATACTCCAATGCAGGTTTCTTATAAGTAATGAGAGCTTAAACTTAAGAACCGGATAAGAACCTAGCATTAGAGATGCTCTAATAATTAATTATTTAACGACGCCTAATCTAAAAATGTTATCTTTATTGTGGACCCCGTTTTAAAGGAAGTTTCGTTTTTATTTTTATACATAATGGAGAGACGTTAATGAAAAAAACAAACCGCCATATTGGTGGGTGGTGACTAGACCTGTCAAAATGGGCCAGTCTGGCTCATGTGGGCCGGCCCATCTTGACCCACTTTAAAAACGAGCCAACCTAACTCGGCCTACTTTTAATTTTTAAAAAAAAAAGTTTGGCCTGGCACGGCCCACCACGGGTTGGTGGGTTATACGGGCCAGTCCACCAGCCCACCAAAAATTAAAAAAAAAATATTAACAAAAATTATGCATAATATATGTTCAACAAAAGTAAATTACAAACTCATAACAAAATCAAAGAGAAATTAGTCCACTTACACCAAAATCAAAACCAAATTATAAACTTACAAATTATTAATAAACTAAATTTTTGATAGTCAACAAAATAAGTCCAAACACAATTAATCAACTTTAACTTTCTATTTCAAGACATTAGAAACTCCCTTAGAAGAAGTTGTCTCTACTTTTTTGTAATTATCATCTTCATCCTCATCTTCTACATCAAAATAAGTTAAACATAAAAAAAATTAAAGTATGCGGGTTGGCGGGTTGTGACAGGTCAGCCCGCTATTTGGACCAGCGGGTTGGCAGGTTGGCGGGTTGAAATATTGGGCCCGGCCCGCCAATTTTTAACAGGCCAACAGGCTGGCTCGCGGGTCACAGCCTATTTTGCCATCCCTATTATTTTGATGTTCTAAGGTGTTATCATGTGGATTGAAAATTGGTTTAAAGTTGTATGATATTATGATGTAGAGTTAATTCATATATGTATAATGATGTGATGTGAATTCATGGTGAATTGCGTGAGGGGTATGTGAACCATTATTTTGTGTGGAATTATCTATATTGTGCATGTGATGTGAACTGTGATGTGATGATTGGGCACAGTCGTATAGGTGACACCAAGCCGTAAGGGCGTGCACATGATACGGTGATATTTATATGTTGTTAGGGGCATGGTCATATGCATGATATGGTACTAGATGTGTGATGTGTCAAGTACAATCGTATGCGTGATATCGGTGCCAGTAGTGGAATGCATTAGCATAGTCAGGTGCATGATACGATGTTGGACGTGTGATGCGTCAGCAGGGGCGTGTACGTGATCTAGTGTTAGATGTGTGGAATGGTGTATATGTGCAATTTGTTTATATGTACATATGTGGATTATGATGAGATGATGGAATATGTGGATTTGAGAAATGATGTTGAACATGTGGATTTGAGAAATGATGTTGAACATGTTTGAATGATGAATGTTGTGTTTATGGAATATATTGCTTTGAGATTGTTTTGCGGAATTTTGTGATGTGCTTTCTATATAATTATTTTCTTTTCTCACCATACATTTGTGGTTGTTTTTAGGTGAGGAAGATGTGGACATGAGTGGCATTTAAGGTGCCAATAATTGAGTCATGGGAGTGCTCTGATAGTGTAACATCGAGGCAAGGGTCTTTTAGGACTTTAATTTTTATTTATTGTAATTGGAGTTTTTACATTTCCTTTGAAACTATTTACGAACTTATTTGCTTTCTAAACTTTATTTTAAATTGATCAGATTGGAAATGTATTTTCTTTTGGACATGTGAACCATTTTACCTATGTTAAATTAATATTTCCTTAATTTACTTTATTGTGTATATTAGGGTAGAATGGGTGTCACATCTTGATAGTTAACTGTTTCGACGTTTCTTCCCCATTACCCACTTGGATTGTAACTGGTTTAATCATTAAGTGTGCCCCGCTCTAGAGTGCGGGCTTGATTACTATCAGCTTACACTCCACTTAGTAATATGCATAGGTCAATTTCCCTTTTTACACTTATTTATTTATTTACAAGGAAGAATGTGTTCTAAAGGAAGAATGGGCTTGATTACTTATTTATCAATCTCATTGATTTGTTTATCGGTGGATGCTTAATGTTTTTTAACAGATTTTGACAGTATCGCAAAAAACTAAAGAAACCAAAAGGTGGTTGATGTCTATGCAAAACATGCATTATTAGAGCCTAAATCTGCACTGTTTGTTTTTTTGTGAGATCATAATTTGCCCCAAATTTTGCTTAGAACATCTTTTAGGAATTTTCATTCTAATGGGCTTTCGCAAATAGTGTAAACTAGACTCCAAGAAGTCTTGCCTTAATAAATATCGAAAAGGCCCTACCATAGTATCTTTCAAAATCCATTTGGACCTTTTTTTAGAGAGCAGATACTGTCTATCTTAGGCATGAAATATTTTAAGACATTCACCTTTCTAAACTGTATGTGCATATTTCTACCTAATTCTTCCATATCATCTAATAGAATAAAACGAATGGGAATAAATGAGCTAGTCTAAAATGCATTTTTTTTTCGCCTAAGCTTTATCATGTTTCCATTATCTAAGAGGAGATGATGCATGGTAAAGACAATTTATTCATCATTTTTTTATAAAAAAAAAAAAAAAACTACCTACGTGATGCTTAATGAGATGATGACATAAGGATGTACAAGAGGGTATTAATTCCTTTATTTTTTATTATTATTTGTTGTTTGCTTAGAATTCCAATCCTAAAACAAATAATGTATACAAAAAAATGTGCACACACATGCTCAATAAACGTACACCTATGAACAATCACGTTCAAATCCATGGTTTGGGGTCCCTATCAAAGAAAGTGTGTTGTATAGGATGGTTCTAATTATCCTCACTAACTAGTCTTTAAAGGCTCCCAAGGTGCCCCCATTATAGGGACCTAGTATCTTTGTCGCCGTCACCTAACAAACTCTAAGGTCTGACATAGTATTTCGGGCTAGAGTAACCGGTTATCACCTTGAGTGTGATTTTTGACAAAGCTCGTAGGCTTAAGGCCATTCTTGGGTCAATCGTATGTTAACCTTGATAGAAAAGAATGGCTCAATCCAAGAGAGGGGTGAATTGGATCCACGCAACATACTTTGGTCAGGGACAATGTGAGGTCCGTTGGTAGGACGAATGTTGTCATCATTGCCAAGCGGGTACCATTGGCCAGAATATGCCTCTTTGATATATGCATTTGAATAGGCAGCATCAACATAGGTCAACGAATCTATGCGAACATAAGCACATGCGGCAATGGCATGTGAACATGGATATCTGTAAGCTTGAAAAGCTCCACACTCACATTTTCGTTCATGGCTACGCGGCCCACCATGGGTTCAGCCCGGGTGGGCCGGGTCAAAGTGAGCCGGGTTGAAATATACCCACCTACCATAAAACTTCAATTTTTTTGGTCCGGCCTGGCCCGGCCCATTTTCAAGGTGGGTCGGGTTGACCCGCGGGCCCAGCCCACTTTTACGGTCCTAGTGGTGACCTATATGAATTTATGATAATTTATTCACAGGAATTGCGACAATTCAACAGTATTGTATTTTGTGACGTTGAACCAGCAATACCGCAATTCCTTAAATTCACCTAAAACTCTATTTTAACACTAACACAACTTAGAAGTTAGAAGTCATGTGTCGTCAATACATCTATTGCGGTAAAGTTTACCATAGTTGAAAGTGTTCTAATAACAATTCTACGGTGGATGAGTTAATAAGTTTAATAATAATTAATATTTACTAAAATAAGTTTTAATATTATTTTAAAAAGTGAATTAAAATCTAATTTAGCATTATAAAATTAATGTTTAAAGTGAATATTATTTTTTATTTATATACAATATTATATTCATATTCACATTATTAATTAATATGAGATCTCTAATGATAATACATGTAAATATATAATACCTATAGCATGTTACAAAAATTAATTATATATATAAATGTGATCCATAAAAATGCCAAAATTAAAATAAAAGTTATGCGCCTTCCTAAGAAAGTGACATATAGCTTTTTAGAATCACCATATAAAACTTTAAATTACGATTATCTGTGTGTGAGTTTTTTATTTATCAATATCTGTATAGATTATGGTTAGAGATATACTTTTCTCTCGTACAAAACAACTTTCTGCCAATATATTTCGATTTAAATTATTTGAGGAGTGAATATCCCAGAAATATATCGTGGTTTTAGACAAATATATATTTCTTTTATATAGAAGAGAAGATTTATTGATTTTAAAGATAAAATAACACGAGCCAAACATAGGGTTAAAAAACACTTCTAACAAAATGATGAGGATTTTGCTATTACTATTGTACAAATTTGGGATAAGAAATTAAAGGAAGAACAGAACAATAATTTTAGACAATAAAATTATTTGAGTGCAAAATTCTCGTGCCCCTTACCTTATGTGAGAGCTTGTAATAACCCATGAAAATTCTTCTACACATATGAATGGACTGAATTAATTAATTTCTTGCCAAGCTAATCAACAAAACGGTAGCAACCAAAAGTGGCAAGAACAGTGAAAAACTCTGGTGGCGGCTAGGACTTGCTCCACTAAAATTCTCATCAACGGGATACAAGTTCCCCGGTGGACCCGTCAGGTACATGTATGCTGATGATGGTGGTGGAGGGCAATACTTTGATGATGGTTTCTTCGGTGAAGGTGGTGGCGGCGGCAACGGCGATGGTGGTGGCGGTGATAAGTATTCTATTGTTGGTGGAGGTGGTGATGGGGTGTAACCACCTTCACATGACCCGCACTTCACATCACCGTTTGTGGCATCAAGCTTCCTTGATTCCTCACCTTTGATTATTGGAGTAGTGACACAAAAAAGCACAAGGATCAAATTGAGGATCATTTGTGCTTTAATTTGATGGCTTATTATTTTTGACATGGGGTGGGGGAATATATGAAGATTTTAATTTAGAGATCGGTATATGTATATGGCTTTGAATTATGGATATTGTGTGAGATTGTAGGGCTATTGGACTTAGGAGAGAGGATTGGAAGAAGAGAATGTGTGGATAGTAAATGATTTATTACGTTGTTGTTAGGTGCATGGGAAATGTAAACTATGGGCAAAAGGGCCTTTTGGGTTAGGGATATAATAATTGATTTGGTTTTCTAGCTAGAGGAGGGTTGTATCTTGTGGAATATAAAGTGCCATCACCATGTGGCATTTAGTGTATTCCGTGGGCTCCACCATGCATACAAATCTCTAAGACCTCAATAATTAACATTAATCTAAAGCCACTTTTGGTGGCCGAGTTTTGACACATATAGGCCATTTCTTATATACTTCATATCACCTTATATTTTTATATCAAATTTTATTAAAATTCATTTTTTATTTTATAAAAATCAAATATTAAATCATTTTAAATATTGTATATAAAATATTGTATATATAACTTAAAAATAAAAAACTTTTAATTTAACAATTAAATTTATAAAATTCAATTACATAAATATTATTATAACTTACCTCCCTCTATATATAATTAGGTTTAATCTTTAATCTTTGATCAAATAATTTCTACCTCCCATTTGTATAGTTAATTTCAATTGATAAATTTTTGACACAACGGCAAGGAAAATTATATATTTATAGATGCTTTATTCTTATATATACATTGATTATGAATGAAATTAAAAATTATTTTTATCTATAAATATTAAGTGTAAATAAAATTAAAACATTTGTACTTATATTTATTTGTTGTCGGTAAAATTTAAAAATTATTATTATACAACTTATGTAATAAATAAATCATCTATGAATCAATACAAAATAAACATTTACCTACAGTTTTTCAACTTTTAGTGATAGATTAATCGATTACTAGAAGTTAATTTTCTTATGGTATTTGAGAAAAACAATAAAATGACGAATAATGTAATATAAAAGAATAAAAAGAAGTGAAAGATATGCAGCTATATATAAAATTTGGTAAGTGAAACCATAATCGATTATTTCATGCAAAATGAAAGTTTCGTATTCTTGATGAATTCCATTGTTTAATTAGCGAATATAGTTAGATAATTTGAAGTGGATCACTGGATGCCTTAGTAGCAAGAACATCAGCAAAAGCTACGCCAAAGTGTAAGACTTCAGAAGATGGTAAAGTAATTTCCTTTTCTTTTTGAAAACGGAATTTTCGGAACCTTTTATGTATATTCTATTTTGTGAAGCTTCAGTAACTTCACATGACAAACCTTCTTTGAAAGGTGTTCTGCATGTGACCACATGATTTTCGGATCAAATAATATTAGTCAATCATTGACCATAGTATTATAAAATTTAAGCACTTTCCATTTCACTCCAAAATTCGTCGCATAACTTTTGATGGTATTTCTCAAAGTTATGGCACCAACTAAATATAAAAGTAGTTAGGTTATACTTATTTAAATTGAAAATAATATATATATATATATATATATATATATACTGAGCGTGATGGGCCCTCTCAGATATTTACCAAATTAGGTAATACGGTACTAATTGGTCGTTTAGGCTTTAATCATGTACTTACCTTTCTTGATTGTGATTACTTGTTATGACTTGCTTAACCCTTCGGCAAGAGGCCGAGCCGGCTAATCAATACTAGTCGGAACGGCAAATGACTGAACCGTCTAGTCCGTATACGGCAGCCTGTATACTTCCGGTATGTTCTATGTCGGAACGGTACCTGACCGAGCCGACTCGATGAATGATGATGGTCCATATTTGCATTAACCAGACTGATGTCGGTTCTCGGCCTCATGCCGAGCCGACGTTGATGGTGATGCTTGTACGTGGCTATGCATGGGTGTCTGACGAAATGGCACGTGTTGGCCCACGTGACCGATTCTATGATTCCTACATGAATGCAACTAATTTTTTATATTTGAAATCAAAGAATATAACATACTAAATTTTTCTAAGAGAAAATAAATTGAAATTGGGGCACATCAAATATTTTAATGTTACCATTATCATGACAAACACAATAAATATAGCACATGACTTTAAGCTTTATGAAACTATATATACATACTAAAAGATACAATTTATAAAACTATAGAGACAAATAAGGGTGGGTAGATGGACTCAGATTCGCGGACTGGTTCGTAAGCCCATGGACTTCATAGATAAAGAACTCATTTTTTTAAAATTCGTATGATTATGTTTAATTTTTGAGCCCAGTGTGTGAAATCTGTGGACTTAGCGGATTCAATTTGTGGGATCGCAACCTAATCCGCGAGTTTCACTAATTAATATTTTAGACATTAAGACTTTAATATTAAGTTGTGTATTTAATCTTTTAAATTATTATAACATTAAAACTATATTTAGTTGGTATATATTTGTCATTTAAATTATTTGTATGACATTTTGATACTTTTATTATTGAAAGTTTAGTATTATTATATAAGTTTTTGTAATTATTTTTACTTTAATATTTTAATATTTAGTATTTTAAACTATTTTAATTGTTGACAAATTTTAGTGTGATAAAATTTAGCTTATAAATAAAAATGATTTTTTTCTTCTAATTTTATGTAATTTTATTTTTTTAAATTCATTTTTCTGAATCATTTTTTAGACCCGCGAACTTGTCTGTTATCCGCGGATTTTGGCGAGCTGGATACGAACTTGAAAAATAAGTTCATTTATTTTACAGATGGAGTTATCCGGTCCATATAAAACGCGGGTTTTACGGGCTGGACCAGTCTGCATACCCACCCCTAAAGACAAAAAGTAATTAAACATTAAAATAAGAGCTAAATTAACAAAGATAAAATCAATTTAAGTAATTAAACTTTTATGACTAAATTAAATCAAATATACTCAAATACAAATAAATTTAGTTGAAACTATATTTTTTTACACATGAAAAAGACACTACTAGAAAAGTGTCATTTTCCTGTGAATTTTTCTGTAAAAAAATATTTGCAAATTTTTTTTGCGAATTTTCCTGCAAAAAAATATTCGCAGCAATTTTTTGCGAATTTATTTGCAAAAAATAATTTACAGATATTTCTTACAAATTTTGCTACAATTTTAATGATCATAGAAATTTTTTTCATGGTAAAAATTTGCAGACAATATTGTAATAATTTTATTTTGTTTTTTGTAAATTTTCTTGCAAAAATAAATTCGCAAGTAATGTTTACTAAATGGTAGAAAAATTTTGCAGGTAACTTTTCCTGTGGATTTCTCTGCAAATTTTAATTCGCAAGAAAAATAAAAAATATATTTAAATTTATAAGTTTAATATTTTAAAAAAACTTCAAGTTCCACATCGATTGAAAATAAAATAATTGATAAGTTTATAAGTTGAGGCAACACTTACCTTACAAGTTGATTTGTACAGTTGAGTGTTTGATTTATAATCTACAATCTTAGAATTTAAAAGATTAAGTATCACATGTTGGAGGCATGGAAACAAATGTTTCAGATGAATTCATTGTGACAATTTGAAAGTTGAAGAAATATTGATAGAATTTATAGTAATTTCTTTAATTTTCTTCGTAAAATTTTTTTTTGCAGAATTTCTTGCGAAAAATTTCGCAGGAAACTTTCCTGCGAATTTTCTTGCAATTTTTTTTGCAGGAAATTTTCTTGCAATTTTTTTTGCAGGAAACTTTCTTGCGAATTTTTTTTTACAAGAAATTTTGTAGGAAAATTTTCTACGAATTTTAAAATTCGCAAAAATATATTATTCACGAAGATATTACCTATAAATAAAATTGTAAGAACAACGTTTTCTGTGAATTTTTCATAAAAATTCGCAATAAAAGTCATATGTAATAAGAGAAATTCTAGTTCTGAGAGCTTTAAACCCCCCACTAGAATTTGGAGGTTTTTATTTTGTGAATCGAGAGGGAAAAAGTGAATTTGGGAATCGGAGGTGGGTGACGTGGCCCGTAAGTGAAATTGGGAATTTGGGATGAGTACACTTCTCTGATTTTATGAAGAAATACACTTTGAATATATGAAGGAAAATATGAGACATTTTTATTTATTTTGTAATTTGAATTACATGGTAAACCATGCAATTAAAGAGCTACTGATCCAAAGCAATAGTCATGCTCACCCTATATGCATGGTTAGGCTGGATGACGTGGATGCTTGAGTGAGAAATTTGAGATGAATTGCTTTTTTGGAAGTTGTTGTATATGGAGGGGGCATTTTGGGAGAAAAATTTTGGGATTTTAGTTTTCAGAAAAATAGAATAGAAAAAATTTAATTTGGAGGGATTCTTTTATTTTTAATGAAGGGAGGAATTTGTGAAAAATTATGAATAAATATAAATTCTTTGACTATATTAAAATTTGTTTATAATATATGTAAATAATTAATGTTTTTAAATATCTAGATCAGATTTGTAACATCTCAATTTTCAAAAATACGATTATTATTATTATTATATGATATTTAGTCATAATTATTTTTTTATTAATATAGGGAAATATTATTTTATTTCATTTATTTAACTATTTCGGGGGAAAGAGAAGCGGGTCGGGAAGAGAAACATGTTGGGTTGACTCAGCTCAATGGATTATTTTAAGAAAGAGGTCAGACATAGTTAATTCTACATGTCTCATTTTGCCTAAGGTTAGGAAACAAAGAGAAGAGAAGAAGGAAGTTTTGAGGAGAAGTGCTCAAGGTTAATCATAAACTGCATCGGAATTGTTCTGATCAACGCAACAAGGTACAGGAGAGAAAAGGGAGTACTTCATATGCATAGTTATAGGAGGGGATGGGTAGAGGGGGAAGCCCCTAAAATTCTTAGGGTTTTCTAATCCTTTTCTGTTTGTGAATTTGATAATTTGAATAATTTTTATATGAATTTATAATTGTTTTTCTGGAGT